CTTAAACCCTAAACCCTAATAACCCTAAACCCTAACCCCTAAACCCTAAACCCCTCGTCTGAGGACCCACGCATAGCTCTGCCCAGCCTGTGGGCGGAGAAGGGGGTAGGGGGCCGTTTAGGGTTTTAGGTTTAGGGTTCAGGGTTTAGGGTTTAGGGCTAGGGTTTAGGGTTTAGGGTTTAGGGTTTAGGGTTTAGGGTTTAGGGTTTAGGGTTTAGGGTTTAGGGTTTAGGGTTTAGGGTTTAGGATTTAGGTTTTTGTGGGGGCCTCTGGGCTGAAACAAACGCAAAGCTTGCTTTGGGTTGTCGAGTTGAGGGCTTAGGGTCGGGGGAGTCCAGGGCTTCGGCTTGCAGAGTCCTCTATGTCGGGGGGTTTAGGGTTTAGGGTTTAGGGTTTAGGGTTTAGGGTTTAGGGTTTAGGGTTTAGGGTTTAGGGCTTAGGGTTGAGGGTTACCAGAAACCCCAAGCCCTAAACGCGCAGGAGGAAGGGCTTCAGGTTCAGAAATAACACGCCGATTCTTTTTCTTCAACTAAGACGACTCAAGAGTCCCCAGAACCCTACAATGGAAACCTATTTGATTGGAATGAAATAGTAATACTACGACTAATAAATAGTAATCATAGTAGGAATCATAAAAACAATAATAATAACAATAACAACAGTAATAATAACAGTATTAACGACGATAACAATACGAATAGAAAATGTAATGATAACCATAACAGTAGTGACAACAAAAGGGATGATTTTGCTAGTTGCGTAGGCTCTTGTACTAACCAACAAGCCTGGCCCGCCAAGGGCAACACCGCACACCCGTTCAGGGCTTAGGATTCAGGGTTCAGGGTTTAGGGTTTGGGGTTTATCATTTAGGGTCTAGGGTGCGTGCCTCAAAGGCATCGTCCATCTGCAACTCTGCGCGGGTCAGGGTCATGCCCTGCGCCTTGTGACAAGGCAGTTTGAGGGTTGAAGCCCTAAAGCCTAAACCCTAAACCGGAAACCTTGAATCCGAAACCCTAAACCCTAAACCCCTAAACCCTACACTGCCAAGCCGATAGGTGCAGATTCAGGGACCAATCAGTTCAGCCACGCCTCCACTGCAGGTAGCCAGTTTCTTCAACACTCCTTCGGCCCTAAGCCTAGACCCCCGAAGGCCTCCCCAACCCTAACCCTAAACCCTTAACCCTAAACCCTAAACCCTTAACCATAAATCCTTAAGCCTAGACCCCCAAAGCCTAATCCCTTCCAAACCCTAAAGCCCCCAACCTGACGCTAATTTTAGCGTAGGGACGAGACGCCCAAGTTTGGGGCATACAGTGCTTCCTGGCTTAGGTTTTAGGGTTAGCCCTTAATTGCTGGAACCTTTATTCGCTCGCCCAATCCTCCTAATCCCTAAACCCTGCGTCCTAAACCCTACATTTTCGCACTCGAGCCCCGCAACCCCCAACCCTCAACACTGAACCCTAAACTCCCTGAAGCCTAAACCCTAAACTCCCTGAAGCCTAAACCCTAAACCCTAAACCCTAAACCCTAAACCCAAAACCCGAAACCCCAACGGCCTTGTGCACTGTCAGCGCCCAGCCCAGCTTGAGAGGCACTTGAAACCTGGAGGGCTTGCGGAGATTAGAGTTTAGGAAGATTAGGGCTTTAGGGTTTAGAGTTTAGGGCTTAGGGTTTAGGGAGTTCGGGTTCAGGGAGTTTAGGGTTTAGGGAGTGTAGGGTTTAGGGAGTTTAGGGTTTACTGAGTTTAGGGTCTACGGAGCTTAGGGTTTAGGGAGTTCAGGGAGTTTCGGGAGTTCAGGGTTGAGGGACTTCAGGGAGTTTCGGGTTTAGGGTTTGGGGGCCCACAGTTCCCACCTGTGGTGACTTTAAGCCCGAACCTCCAAGTTTACAGGGTTGAGAGTTTAGCGCTCTCGGGTGGTAGGGCTTAAGAAGGCTTGGGGTTTAGGGTTGAGGGTTTAGGGTTTAGCACACCCTAGACACCCGCCTGGACAATGTGTTGCGACCGGCACCCATCGTGAACTTGTGCACGCCAATGCCTCCAGCAGAGGACCAAAGCCGAAAACCCGAAGCTTCAAAACTCCACCTTCGCGGGTTTAGGGTTCAGGCTTAGGGGCTCTACCAGCGAGAAGCCGAAACTTGTAACCCCTGAACTAGGTACACCCTTCAATGCCTCAACAATACCCCAACTCTCCTCGTGCCGTATAAACTTCTCATGCAGCAATGTCGGGAATGTGGACAACTACCTCAGACTGGTAGGGTCTGAACACTCAACCCTAGAAATCTACACCCGAAGCCCTAAGAGTCTGAACCCCAAGCCTTAAAAGTCTGAACCCTCAGATGCCCTAAGCTCTAAACCCGACACCCTTAAATCGGAACCCTACACCCTAAACTAGTTCATGGTTGGGATAAGAATAAAAATTTAAGTTTATATTCCTTATTGGGTTTAAGTACCCTTGAAAATGTAAAAATGGTACCCAACTATGACACAGTAAAGTCTGAACCCTGCAAGTCTGAACACACGACGCCCTACACCCTAACCGCCAAGAACTTCGGTTGTGGGCCGCGGATCGAGGGGCCGAGTCTGATGATCGGGACGGCGGATTTAGGGTTTAGAGTTTAGGGTTTAGGGTTTAGGGTAGGGTTTAGGGTTTAGGGTTTAGGGTTTAGGGTACGGCTTCAGGCTTATCACGATAGAGTTGAGGCTTCGAGTTTACGGTTTAGAGGGGAGGCGTTGACTTGATTGAGTGGATTAGGGGTGCTTAGCCAACTCTTAACCTGAACCACTTGGTAGCCCAGTAACCATATTATAACAGGCCACCCTTTTTTGGGAATAGCTACTGTAGAAGGGGACCCAGAACCAAAAACCTAAACCCGAAACCCTAAAGGGTAAGGGGTGCCACTGGGCTATCCTAAATGGTGGACTGAATTTGGCCGGGGTGCACGCTGACGTCCCATTGTCGAAGCGAACAACTGGCTTCCCGTCTTGAAAAGCCTGCACACTCGGCAACAAGTCTGCCAGCTCTGGTTAGGTCTATGGCTCAGGAAACCCTAAACCTTAAACCCATCAACCCAATTGACATTGTGGGAAACAAAAACGTAAATCATATTCTGAAAGTCCTCGAAGAATATAATCCAATTTTGGATCCCAAATGGCATGCAATCGGTTTGACGTCTGGCAAAAGGCAGCCTCTTCCTATTGTCAATTCTTTCTTTTTCCGAGCAGTGTTGATTGGCAAGTTGTGTTAAGTATTGCAACTTCTTAAACCAAATTTTCTGCTTGGGCATGCAACTGCTGAGTACTACTGTGACATGTGTGACGAGAGTTTTGGTACCCAAGCCTCGCAAAAGGGGGATTAGATGTGGCTCGACCCCCTACGTAGGTATGAGTAGGGCTATAAGGGCCCTAGAGGGGGTTGGAGGTCTTCCTATTTGGGTAATCATTCCCTAAACGCTAAACTCTGAACCCTGAGCCCTAAACCCTGAGAGAGGAATGGTCCCGGTTCAGCGTGTTTGGCGTGTCGGGGTTTGTCCGGCCCGCCCCTCCACTCCCCCACCCACCCTCCCCCCTCCCTCCCCCGCCTCCCCCTCCCCCCTATACCTATGCAGTGTAGCCTATACTTCTAAAAACTCCTATTGAGGTATATGAACCCTAAACCCTAAACCCGAAACCCGAAGCCCGAAATCCCCCAAAACCCCACAAAGATAAAGACCGAGACCCTGAGCGGCGCCTCCACCATCCCGCGGCTGCCGTTGACCCCTAAACCCTGAACCCTAACCCCAAACCCAAAACCCCTAAACCCTAAATAGGGTGTATAAATCCCCAAAGCCCCTCTACCCCTAAATAAACCCTAAACCCTAAATCCCCAAAACCCCTTTGAAAATCCTAAGCCCTGAACCCAGCCTCCACCATCCCGCGGCTGCCATTGACCAGACCCAAGGTGGGCTCATTCTTCAGGTGCAGCACCTGAATGGTGCGTTGGTAGGGTTTAGGGTTTAGGGTTTAGGGTTTAGGGTTTAGGGTTTAGGGTTTAGGGTTTAGGGTTTAGGGTTTAGGGTTTAGGGTTTAGGGTTTAGGTTTAGGGTTTAGGGTTTAGGGTTTAGGGTTTAGGGTTTAGGGTTTAGGGTTTAGGGTTTAGGGTTTAGGGTTTAGGGTTTAGGGTTTAGGGTTTAGGGTTTAGGGTTTAGGGTATCGGGTTTGGGGTTTAGGGGTTTAGGGGTTTAGGGGTTTAGGGGTTTAGGGGTTTAGGGGTTTAGGGGTTTAGGGGTTTAGGGGTTTAGGGGTTTAGGGGTTTAGGGGTTTAGGGGTTTAGGGGTTTAGGGGTTTAGGGGTTTAGGTGCTTAGGCGCTTAGGTTTGGAGGGTTTGGAGGGTTTAGGGGGTTTAGGGGGTTTAGGGGGTTTGGGGGGTTTGGGGGGTTTAGGGGGTTTAGGGGTTAGGGTAGATCGTTTTGGATTTGGGGCTCGTAGGGTTTCGGGCTTCTGGGCTTCGGGGCTTGCAGAGTTCCGCGCTTGGGGCAGTTCAGGGGACGTTGGGGCTTTAGTTTTTTTGGGGGTTCCGGGGTTCAGGATGCGAGGCGAGTTGGGGTGACAGGGGAACTTGGGATGTTTCCCCTTAGACTAACAGTCCTTAATCGGGGTTATAGTCTACTACTTGCTGAAGAACCCCCCAAAAAGATAAGACAATAACCCCCCAAAAAATTAAAAATATGTGCTTCCTTGAAAGGGCAATATAGGGACAATGATAAAAATCTTTTTTGGGGGGTTCTTCAGCTAATAGGGGACTATGATCGATATTAAGGTTAGTATAATCGGGAACATCCCAAGCGTGAACATTGTTAGGGGGTAGAGTGGCTTTCCAGTTCTTTAGGGTTAGGGTTTAGGGTTTATGGGCTGGGATCAGTGGGAGTTGCCCACAAGGCTCGTTTTTACTTTGCCCACCATACGCACCAAACCCTGAAACCCAAAGCGCCCCCACAAGCCACAAACAGGAACATGAAAACACCTAATTCACAACCTTGGCTGCACGTTGATCTGAAACCAGAAAACCCTTAAACCCAAAGCCCCTCAACTCCTAAAGCTCCAAGCTCCTAAAGCCTCAGAGTCCCCAAATGTTCTAAAGCAGGCCAAACTCCTAAAGACTGTAGAGACCTCGGCCCTAAAGCCCTAAACCTAACCCTAAACCCTAAACCCTAAACCCTTGAACCCTAAGCCCTAAACCCCAACACCCTAAACCCCAAAACCCCAAAACCCTGCGCTCAGACCCTGAAATGAAGATGGCGCGCGCCTGCGCGCCAACCTTGAGCTGAACTTCACTGGGGACCTGTTCAGTTTAGGGTTTCGGGTTTAGGGTTTGGGGTTTAGGGTTTAGGGTTTAGGGCTTAGGGTTTAGGGTTTAGGGTTTAGGGTTTAGGGCTCAGGGCTTAGGGTTTAGGGGTTTAGGGGTTTAAGGGTTAGGGGTTTAAGGGTTAGGGGTTTAGGGCTTAGGGCTTAGGGGTTAGGGCTTAGGGTTTTAGGGTTTTAGGGTGCTCGCGGCTTATAGGGTTTTTGCACCAGCCCACCCGTAGGAACTTGGGTGAGCGGTCTGGGCAAACCCCATGCGTGACAACCCCCAACCCTAAAGCCTAAACCCTGAACTACACCCCAAACCCTAAACCCTAGCCGTAAACCCCAAACCCTCGACTGCTTTGGGTTTTTGGTAGGGGTGCAGTCGACGGGCCGAGGGTCTCAGATTTGTGGGAGTAGGCTCGCAGCTACTCCTCCTTCGTAAGAGTCCTTACAGAAAAAACTCGAGCCAAGAAGAACCTAGGTATAAGGGAGCCTAAACCTTAAAAAAAGGGAATAAAGGCTGACTCCGGGGAAGTAGACCCAGTAGTATAAGGGGACCTAGGCCTTAACAAAAGGGAATAAGGGCCTACTCCGGGCCCAAGAAAACCGAGACTTGGTAGCCCAGTAGCCATGTTAGACTAAGGACACCCTTTCTTGGGTTGGTTACTTTTTTATGGGAACCCATAACCAAAAAAGTAAAGGGTACCACTGAGCTACCAAGGAGAAAAGAAGACGGAGACATCCGAACATCCTAACCCTAACCCTAAACCCGCCCAAACACCTCTCTTCCGGGATCTTGGGGGGATGCCGGGATCTGCAGGCAAAGAGGGTCTCATTTGAAGTTTCGGGTCCGTAGTGATTCGGGACAGGGATCTTTGGGGAAGGAGGGGGGTGGGTGGGGGCTAAACCCGAAACCGAAGATTTCGGGGGTTTGAGGGTCTCGGGGTTTGCGGAGAAATCGTCTAGACTGCGAAGCTCCCAGCCTCAACCCGACCAACAGAAATCCTGTCCACCCGCATAACCCTTTCCACAAGCCAATTCCTGATTTTATTGAGGACATATGGGTGGTTGTCAAAATTAGGGTCCACTTTTGGATCCCTATTGTAATACGGCACCTAGTATTTAGGGTACCCCAAAAAGGGACCATAATTGTGACAACCACCCCATATCAGAGGAGGTCCTACTATGAGCATGCGTGAGGCCTTCTTGTCCAAGAGGTTCATCTGCGCGGGCGTGGTGTTGCGCGGGCAAAGATCGTGTGCTCGCATGGTTTGCGGTGCGCCTACAGGGCACGAAGAAACCTCCCCCCCACTTCCATGCCGATAGCAAGCATGCCCATTGAAAAAATGTGCACAGGCATACCTTCATCTTAGTACAAGCGGGGTCTTGGGATAATTCGTGTGGGGGTTCTTCTCCCCCAAAACAACCCTAAACCCTAATACACCCTAAACCCAAAATCGAACCCGCTTTAACGGCGTAGGGTTTCGGGCGCTCCTTGAAGGGTGGTGGTTTCGCAGGCAGGGTTTGAGGAGTGTAGGGATTGAGAGCTTGAGGGTCCCTGATGGCACCCTAAGCTTAATCAGAACCCCCACAATATCCTAAAACCCTAAACCCTAAACCCTAAACCCTAAACCCTAAACCCTAAACCCGGATACCTGGCAGCTGCCGCAGGCGCGCTGCGTTCTCGGCGTCGACGTTCTTGTTGAGGCAGTAAAGCTTCCTTGTGGTGAGGCGGGAAGTGGCCACCCCAAACCTGAAACCCTAAACCCTACCCTAAACCCTAAGCCCTAAACCCTAAACCCCCTACCTTACTATCGAGACCTTAAGGGAGAGGGGTTCAAGGGGGGTATGAAACCCCAGGTTTTCCAGTACTCCCCAAGGCTCCCTAAGCTTCCCTGAGGTTCCGTAGGTACCTATACCCCCCATGAACCCCCCTCCCTTGAGAACCCCAGAACCTTTAGACCACTCTAGGGGTATTTACGTGGCCCCTTAGTATGAGCCCCTAAAAAGGGGACCTTATATGCCACTCTGAGTGGCATGAGTGGCAGCCACTCATATGCCTCTCATATATACCCTGTTCAACCCAAGTGGGTGTCAAGGTGGCCCCGCAGTACGGAACGCGATTCCGCAAGGCGGCCATAGCGTAGTGGCCGCTCCCCACACGGAGATCCAGGATTGCGGTTGCACCAATTGCATGGCACAGCTCAGTCGCTACCACATCGCTAGACTCCTAGTAGAAAGCCGGCACAAGAGATACCCTAGACCCTAAACCCTGAACCCTAAACCCTAAACCCTAAACCCGGCTTCTCCTTCTCCGCCGGCTTGTTCTGGGCAGGTCCTGCCTGGCAGTGGCCAGACTGACCGGGCCAATCATGTTGCCTCGTGTGATTTGGGCGGGCATCGTTGCACGTGGCCGAGGCATGACCTGCATCACATTTCAAGGCGGGCAGCCGTAAAACGGGGGAGATGTAGCTCAACCCCACTTCCCAAACGCCTAACCATAGATGCTTCAACATCTTTACTCGTCACAGGGCCTGGGCCCATCAGATTAGCTACGGGCTCTTTGCAAGCTGCGCAGTTTAGGGTTTGGGGCTTAATATTAATGGGCTTAGGGTCACGGGTTCAGGGCTTTAGGGTTTACTGCAGGGTTCGGGGCTTACGATTCAGGGTCTGCAGGTTATTACTTGCGCCCCTTGCTGAAAGTACGCGCACCGCTTCTGAGCCCACGAAAGTCCAAACCCCAACAGCACAGCTCCCCCCCAAAACCGCAAACCCCAAACCCTGCACGCGCTTGGTCGCCCAATAACCAAATTAGAATAAGGGTACCCGTTTTGGGGTTGGGTACTTTATAAGGGAACACACAACCCAAGAAAAGGGGCAACGGCTACCACTGCTGCGCTACCAAGCGCCTTAAACCCACAACCCTCACAACTGACTTCCGAGCTCCCCGGCTCTAAACCACATATACATACCGCAAACCCACCAAGTCCACTGAGAGCGCTGTCTGTGGAATCACCTGCCCCCCCCCCCCACCCCCCCACCCCCCCCAAAAAACAAACTGTATGGTATTGAGGACGGGAATGAAGAACACGGCGAACCGCGCCTCTAAACCCTAAACCCTAAACCCTAAACCCTAACCCTAAACCCTAAACCCTAAACCAGGCGGCGTTGGAAGGATGCCATCTTTGGGCTGCGGTTTCACACCAACCTCAATGCATAAGGAGGCTTTCGGGTTTAGGGTTTAGGGTTTAGCGGCGGGGTGTAAGGGAGGGTTTCGGGTTTACGGCCTAGAGCACCTTTGAAGGGGCGCGATATTTGCTCTTGCAACACCAACCAGGTGCGCCTTAGAACAAGGGACTCAAAAGGGCACCTCTTAAGCAGGGGGGGGGGGGGGGGGGGGGGCTGGGTGTTCCCCTTATACTAACAATCCTCAATAGGATTGTAATTGGGGGGGTACGAGAATCCCTTTAAGGACTGGGACTAGAAGCGGGAACATCCAAAACAACCGGGGGGGGTGGGGGGGTCTTGAGGGCATCTTAGAAGCTAGATCCAGGACAGCCTAGGAATAGAAAGGGTGCCCCTTTTTGGTTTTAAAGGGGGGAATAAGGGAACCCCCAACCCTAAAACACGGAAATAAGGGCCTTCTCCGGGTCCCAGCCCTAAACCCTAAACCCTAAACCCTAAACCCTAAACCCTAAACCCTAAACCCTAAACCCTAAACCCTAAACCCTAAACCTCAAAAAAGGAAAATCTTAGAAGGTACTTCAAACCCGAGGGCCGAGTCCGGACATTGAGCTTGCTCCCGGGCCTCAACTTTTTCGGCCCCCCGGCCTAAACGGTGCGGCAAGAGAACGGTCGGGGCAGCGGTTTAGGGTTTAGGGTTTAGGGTTTAGGGTTTAGGGTTTAGGGTTTAGGGTTTAGGGTTTAGGGTTTAGGGTTTAGGGTTTAGGAGGACAAATATTAAACTATTTTGTTGCCCGGACCTGCAGTGCTAGAATGCTAGAACTGCTCGATCACCAAGAACAAAGTAGTACTATAGAAGGAAAGGACTACACCTTAGGTCATATGAAGATAACAAAACTGTTTCGCAATGAATGGAGGGGAGTTGGGCTGGCATGGGATTGGGCTCGCTAGGCCATATATAGGGGCCTGAATAGTGAGAATAGGGTTTTGGGGGGGTTATTATGGTATAGTTACAAAGGGACCCTAAGGGAATACTGTTAGCAATTATTCCGACCCCTCTAAAAAATTACTCCCGACCCACAGCTACCCCTTGGCCCAGGGCGATCTTCAGGCCGAGGGGCGTGACATTTTGCGAGCATTGCTCGCGCAGCATCGGACACGTGCCCGACCCTCAACCTCAACTTCTTCGCTCTTCATCGGGTGTCGGGTATGAGTAAGATCTTGGGGTTGAGGGATGTGGTTTCAGGGTTTCGGGCGCAGACAGGCCCTAAGCTTGTTCAGCACATTCAAAGCTTTGCGCCAATGCTTGAAACAATGTTTGACTGCATGCGACCCAGCAGCTCGTTGAGGACCTGCGCCAAAAGGACTCTTCTTGAATAGGAACTAGGTACCCTTATGGAATCCTTAAGCCTTAAATGGGAGGATATAAGGTGCCCCATAGCAAAATGGCGGGGGGGCTCTAACAATATCAGAACTACTATTTGCTTAAGAATCCCAAGAAACAAATATTCTAATCACTATTGCCCTTATAAGGAAAACGTTTTCCATTATTTGCTGGGTTCTGAAGCAAATAGTAGAGCACAGGCAGTTCTACGATGGCAAGGAGTGCCACATCACAGCAACCATTCCCTCTCAGATCCTTTGCTGTGGATCATTCTGGTGGCCCATGCTGGAGATCTAGTCCCTAGCATACAAGGAGGGGCCCCCTTGCTATAGTAACTATAATTAAGGGACTTATAACCTAAGTCAGGATCCCTAGAACCCAATTTAGGGTTCTTAAACTTCTGCTTATAACTAGGGGGGCCCCTCCTTGTATTTCCTAACCTCTAAACCCTAAACTCTAAACCCTGTACCCTACACCTCTGTTCATGCTGACATCCAGTCCTTGCCAAATTCGCGGTCGGATGCTTGCCGCACCGTCTGGCATAGAAGCACGGTGCCCTCGTCCAAGCCAGCCTCCCAGACACTCAGGGTTTAGGGTTTAGGGTTTAGGGTTTAGGGTTTAGGGTTTAGGGTTTAGGGTTTAGGGTTTAGGGTTTAGGGTTTAGGGTTTAGGGTTTAGGGCTCCCTAAACCCTAAACCCTAAACCCTAAACCCTAAACCCTAAACCCTAAACCCTAAACCCTAAACCCTAAACCCTAAACCCTAAACCCTAAACCCTAAACCCTAAACCCTTCGACTGCAAGACGAAGAATTCTACGAGTCTCAGCTCCTGAACTGTACACTGCGCATGAGCACACCTGAAGACTGTGAACCCGAATTAAACCCTTAACCCTGTCTTCTAGCTATGAACGGGTTGTAAGGGGCCTATTTTCGTCAAAATCAGCATTTGGTAGGGTGGTTGAACTGGGTAGCCCAGGAACCATATTCTCTTCAGGGCAGCCTTTTCTGGGTTGGTTACCGTATAAGGGAACCCGCCACCAACAAAAACGGGCAAAGGGTACCACTGGGCTACCAAGTCGCGGTACATGACCCTAAACCTTATAAACCCTAAACCCTAAACCCTAAACCCTAAACCCTAAACCCTAAACCCGAAACCCTAAACCCTAAACCCTAAACCCCTAAACCCCTAAACCCTAACCTTCGGCCTGCCTTTCTCCAAGCGGCAGACGCGAAGCAGAACTTCCGCGCAACCTGCCCCCGCTCCTGGGCACGTTGAGGCCACCAAAGAGGGTTAGGGTTTAGGGTTTAGGGTTTAGGGTTTAGGGTTTAGGCTCACCTGCCCTACTTCGTCGCTCCCAAACCCTAAACCCTAAACCCCAAGCCCTAAACTCCATAAAGCCCAGGCCAGGAAGCCCTAAAAACTTGTCCGGCCTTCGAGCATCTGCCCTCTTGGATGCTACGCAAGGCCCGTGAAAACACACGCCTTGGGTTTTGGGCTTCCTTTCTGCAATCGCACAAGACAGGGTGCCCTTAAACGACAATTGCCAACTCCACTTGACGGACTTCTTCTAGGACAAATCAGCTCAATTCAGAGCCCATCTTCTCACAACTGCAGGACCCCTACACTTGGAAAATTCGCAACCTCAAAAGGCCTGAACCTGAAACCTCAAAACACTCCATTCCCTGCCTGCACCGGCGGCAGCTGTAGAAAATCACCACAGAAAAGCACCTACAAACAAGACTCGCGGTTGGTGTGCCCTCATCGCAGGGTTTGAGGTTTCTGCCCGGAATGGCATGTTACGCTACCCTAAACCGCAAACCCTCGGACTTCAGCCTCGGGATCGGTTGGAGGGCTGAACCTACAAGATCTGGGAAATCTATGGTGGAATGGGTTTCTGATGCATGCCACGCGGCTACAGCTTAGCCTGATTCCACCCTACTCTTAAACCCTATAAGCCCTAAACCCTAACCGAACCCTTGCAGCGTCGCAACAGCAAAAGCGAAACGGGCCCCGCAGCAGCAGCCGACAACACATGCACCCTGCAGCAAGAGGAAAAATCGCTGCCTGCATGCCTAAATAGCTTACCCTCGCCGAGATAATCCTGAACCCGGACTCCCAACCCAGAAACCACAACCCTGGAACCATGAGTAGTAGGGCTTAGGGTTTAGGGTTTAGGGGTTGGGGTTCAGGGTTTAGGGTGAGCCCTATAAGCCCTACAACCCTCAAGCCCCAAGCCCTGAACCTACAACCCCCCGAAGCCCTGAACTCTACACAAGCCTGCAGAACCCCAAAACCTTATTCTAGACCCAAGAGTAGCCTAGGAATAGAAAGGGGTTAGGATTTAGTCTTAGGGCTTAGGGCTAGGAAGAAACAAAGGGTGCACTTTATGGTTTCAAGGGGCTTGAAAGAGAACCTAAACTCTAAAGAAGAGAAGAAGGGCCTGGGTCCGAGTATTTATACACATTTCCAGCCTAACGGCCCAAACCCCCAAAGCCCAAACCCTGAACCCTGCCCCCCGCCCCAAACCCCAAACCCCAAATCCCAAACCCCAAACCCCAAACCCCAAACCCTAAACCCCAAACCCCAAACCCTAAACCCCTTGCCTGCAGTCCACCGAAGGCAGCGGGCTTCTTCCGGATGTCGCAGGCAACGGCGCACAGCAGCCTTTTTAGGCTTAGGGCGGTTTAGGGTTTAGGGTTTAGGGTTTAGGGTTTAGGGTTTAGGGTTTAGGGTTTAGGGTTTAGGGTTTAGGGTTTAGGGTTTAGGGTTTAGGGTTGAGGCTGTCGTGTAGGTTCCTTTTTGAGGTTTCGAGGGTGTGGAGGCTTAGCTGGTGAAAGGGTGAAGGGGTCTTAAAGGGGTTCGGGAGGTTTCCGTTGGTGGTGCGGGTTCTTGAGCTCGGCAAGCAGTCTGGCATCAAACTATCGAGCCTTCAATCTTGGCCCATCCACCCTTACCAAGGAGTTCGGTTGGCACGCGATAAGCTGCGACAAGCGCGTGCTGATTGCCTGGGGCGTCCTGCTAACCCTAAACCCTAAACCCTAAACCCTAAAGCCTAAACCCTAAACCCTAAACCCTAAACCCTAAACCCTAAACCCTAAACCTAAACCCTAAACCCTTTGGTGGATAGGGGCCCAAGGAGATCGACTGAAAGAGCGAACGACGTGGGCGACTGCACTCGCCTGTGCTAGAGCCCCACTGCTGACCCCAAGAAACAGGCTCGGCAATCCCCTTCTGTAAGGGAGATGCCGGGGGAGTTTAGGGTTTAGGGTCTAGGGCTTTAGGCTTTGGTGGTTTAGGGTTTAGGGTTTAGGGTGTAGGGTTTGGGGTTTGGGGTTTGGGGTTTAGGGTTTAGGTTGGGGTTTAGAATGGGTTACGCCGGACCAAGAAAATTGTCGGCTTGGGGTTCAGGGCTGGCTTGGACAAGGGAGAGGATGAACGCACATCAGAGGGTTTAGGGTTTAGGCTTTAGGGTTTTAGGGTTTAGGGGTTTAGGGTTTAGGGTTTAGGGTTTAGGGTTTAGGGTTTAGGGATACACACACACACATCACCCCAATGTGGACGCTCATGCAGAGAATTACACATCATTCGAGAGAATGTACAGCACCAGACACGGGTGGATGCCACTTATTGTTCTCAGCAGTATAACAGGTAATTGCTTAAGAACCCCCCCCCCAAAAAAAAAAAGAAAACGATTTTCCCTTGTAAGGGTAATATGGGGATTGTCATTTTTGTTTTTAATCTGTTGGGGTTCTTAAGCAAATAGTAGATAAGGGGGGCCATCCCAGGGTCGAGGGATTAATTATGGTTGTTTAGGGTGTCGGGCTTACCCGCCAACCCAAAAAATCTACTGGAGACTTGCCGAATGAATTCTTTCTGGCAACTCCAGTAGCTCGCCATCGATCATGGAGATCTCATCCTATTCAGGTTTAGGTTTGAGGGGTGTAGGGTCTAGGGTCTAGGGTTTAGGTTTCTTCAGCTGCAAGGATGGACACGGTCTTTCTACACATTTGCGGGGGGTTAGAGCTTAGGGTTTAGGGTGTACGTAGGAACGTAGCTACCCTGAGAACTGAGCACCTGGATGTCTATGATGAGGAAGCTGGCAGGGAACAACGACGAAGATCTTGAGAGCGGAAAGAAACCAGAATAGTTCTGGTAGGGTGGCTGCATATACTTCTACAGAGGGTTCGAGGAATAGAGGTTCCATGATCGCATATTCAGGGTTCGTTTCCCTAAAATGCTCCCTAGCTGGGTCAGACTATAAATCGCAAACCCTAAATCCTGGACTCTAAGCCCTAACCACGAACCATAAGCCCTAAGTCCGTAGACCTTAAGCCTCACAGCCCAGTCTGGGGCTTTTATAATGCTGCTTAGTAACTTGGGGCCCCTACTTGTAGGGCTTGGGACTAAGACAAACCCGAAGCCAAACCGGAACACCCTGACCCATTTTGATGAGCCTCCTATAGCAGCAGAGCCTTTGAAGGTTAGCAGGGTTTAGCATCTAGGGCTTAGGGCTGGTGCGTCTGGGGCAGTCCGGGGTTTAAGCTTTAGGGTTTTACCCGAACCCTCGGCTACCCTCTATATCATGCCGTAAGCACCTGCGATGTTTGAAAGCAGTTGAATCCGCGCTTAAGGTAGCTTGGGGCGCGGTCTTGATAGGCTTGAAGTTTTAGGGTTTTCGAGCTTGCTCAAAGGAGCAGGACACGAAGCTACAACCCTCAAAGCCTCAAGCACCTTCCCAGTCTGCCAAGGTTCGACAACCAGCACTTTGGTGTTCTTCCATCGTTGCACTGCTCCAGAATTCTTTCGAACCTGCTCTTGGGGCTGGGTTTAGGGCTTAGGTTTTCAAGGTTCAGGGTGAAGGCTCTACTAGGAAGAGAAGCCCGACTGAGCCATGTCTTCCAGAACGCATCTACCTCTACCACCCCGCCGCCCCCACCCCCGCCCACAAAAAGCCCACAAAAAAAGCAAAAACAATGAACAAATTGGCTTAGGGCTCCAAACCCCCTAGGCCCCAACATGCCCCAACTTCCAACAACCCTGCAAGAGATTGCTAAAGGTACCCGAGCCGATGTGGGTTTGTGGCCCTTACAGTTGGCTCAGGTGGCTGGCGGGGAGGATCTCAACCAGGGTCACTGCTTCCTCTTTTAAGCTTCAGGGTACGCATAAACTTAGTAGCCCAGCAACGATATTACAATAAGGGCACCCTCATTTTTGGTTGGTTACTTTATAAGGGGAACCAGAACCAAAAACAGGGTAAAGGGTACAAATGGTACCAAGTGAATGATACCCCCCCCCCCCCCCCCCCCCATGGAAGCACCGCCTCCGCCACAGACCTGTGCCATGATACTCTCATACTCATACTCCGTCCCTTCTCTTGGGTACGCTAACTTCCTGCTTCCTTTTAGGTAGGCCATGAAATCCTAAAACCCTGAACCCTAAACCCTGGTTTTGCGGAGTCCTTGACTTCGGCCGAAGTGGAGACAAAGGGTCCAGGGCTTACAGGCTTTCGGCTTCAGGGCTTAGGGTGTAGGGTTCATGTGAGAGCTTCCGAATTGGAGGCCCATTTTGGGTGTTTCCATAGCACGGAGTGTAGTATTGCGGGGTGTATCAGGAGGCTCCTAATGTCAACTTTCATCTGCCTGAAGGAAGCATCAGAAAGACACCAAGCAATAAAACCTAAACCCTAAACCCTAATCCCTAAACCGTAAACCCTCAGCCCTCAGCCCTAAGATTGAATTCTGACCTTTTCGGTCGGCGCTGCTGGGTGATCCCAAGCCCCCAAAAATCCCGGGCGGCAAGGCTTCGGTTGCTTAGGGTTGGGGGTAGGGCTCAGGGTAGGTTTTAGGGTTTCGGATTTGTTTTAAGGCAAACGGCACGCCCCCCCACCCCACCCCCCCCCCCCACCCCCTCAGTAGGGTGAATGATCTGGCACTTTAAGGTAGGTCCCCTATTTACAAGGAACCATCAATCACCAAAGCCCTGTCTTTGACCCTAAACCCCAAACTCGAAACCCTAAACCCTAAAACCCAAAACCCTAAACACTAAAACCCTAAAACCAAAACCCTAAACCCTGAAACCCTAAACCCTAAACCCTGAATCCCAGGAGACCAGCCTGCTGCAAGGTCTTCGCGAGAGGATCCTTCCCAACGCCGATCCCCGCGAAGCTGTGGATGGTTTGACCACCGAGGTGCCTGGCAAGCCACACTCTACGGCAAGCCACACCCCCCCCCCTGCGAGCCCTAAACCCTAAACCCTAAACCCTAAACCCTAAACCCTGAACCCTGAACCCTAAACCCCCCCAAAAAAAGACCTAAACCCTACAAACCAGACCTAAACCCTAAACCCCAAGCTGCTCGACCCACCCCAGACCCGACAAACCCTACATAAACACATCTTAAACACCCCAAAATCGGGGGATTGATCAGGGGCCTGATCTCTCCGCTTGAGAGGTGAGGTCTTACAGTTTAAGATCTCGGGAAGCTTTGGGGTTTAGGGGTTTGAGGTTTAGGGTGTAGGGGTTTAGGGTTTAGGATTGACGGTTTAGGGATATAGGGTTTTAGAGTTAAGGCATCTAGGAGTTAGAGTGCAGCCTGTGGTAGCTAGACGTTCCTTAGGGGTTGCTTGTGCATGGAACCTCGTAGATAGCCCTAAATGCCGATCCGAGTACCCAGCGCGCCAGCCCACCCTTTCATTGAAACAGCTTCTCGATTCAGCAGTAAACCCTAAACCCTAAACCCTAAACCCTAAACCCTAAATTCTAAACCCCTAACCCCTAAACCCCTAACCCCTAAACCCCTAAACCCCTAAACCCCTAACCCCTAACCCCTCAACCCTAAACCTTAAACATTACCCGCCCCCCCCCCCCCCCCCCACCCTACCATAGGTTTACTTCGGATCCGCCAATTTCATGTGGGTTCAGCCAAGAGGCGCTGCAGCGATGCCCGTAGAGGCCGTCACGGCCACCTGCACTACCAAGAAGCTCAAAGCAAACCCTAAACCCTAAACCCTAAACCGTCTCTTTAATGAAAATACATATATATATATATCTTTATACATATATATATATACATATACCGCAATGGGCGCCGTGGTCGTTGGCAAAAAAAAAGTTGGACATTGGCCAATAAACCCATTCGGAAAAAAAGACCGTGGCCATTGGCAAATTTGCCAATGGCCACGGTTTTTTTTGCGAATGGCAAGGACTTTTTGACGAACAAAAAAGGCTTTACATGTCTTAATGTTTTGGGATTCTCTGGGTGGGTGGGCTTTTTTCTAGAGTCGAAACCAGAGATTGCTCGACCCGGAGCTGCTGAACCCTAAACCCTCTATCCCTAAACCCTAAACCCTAGTCCCTAAACCCTAAATCCCTAAACGGTCTTCAGGATCTTGATGTTGGGTTGGGGGTGTGTAGGGGCTTAGGGCTAATAACTGGAGTTTCGGGCTGAAGTTTAGGGTTAGTGAGATTAACACACACTTTAGGACCCCCTCTAAACCTAGACCCTAAACCCTAAACCCTAAACCCTAAACCCTAAACCCTAAACCCAGTCCCCGCGTCAACCTGCCCCGGGTAGCGCTGCGACAACTCCTGCACCAAAAAGCGGAGGAGGAAGCTCTTCCTCGCATGGGCGTCCGGGCTGCAGCGTCAGGGGGCTTCAAGACCACCTATGTAGGGTTTGGGGTTTTGGGTTTGAAATCGCAAAAGCAAACCGCAAGGGGGGGCTTTCCAGTTGTCGGGTGCTGGGGATGGGTTTGTTGTGTGTTTAGGGTTTAGGATGTTGAAAACAAACCTCCAAGGGGGTTTCCAGCTGTCGTGTACTGGGGATGGGTCTGTTGTGTGGTGTCGGAAACTTGGAAGTTTGGTCCAAGTGTCCGAGGACAAATGAAGAGTCAGGTGGTCACAATCAAAAGACATTGAGAGTCAGCACAGGTTGCGCCTGGGGCTTAAGGCTTACAAGTACACTGTTACAGGTTTAGGGTTTAGGGCTTCGGAAACCCTACTTTCGCGTGTGCAGAGAGCCTTATACAACGCACCCTCGCTTAGCGAGGTGATGGACGGTCAGGCTTCAATACCAGCTCAAGGACCAAATGAACCCTAAAATCGTGGTCATATTCCCTATACTACTCGATATTCCGATTCGGGTAGATGAACCATCCAAACCCTTTCAGGGTTCAGTTGGTCCATGAGGAAGAAGCATGATTTCCAGCAGCTGTCTCGCATCTAGTAGGCGTTCTGCTGCAGTATGACGCGGATTTCGTCAGCCTGCAGCAAGTCCATGACGTCTGTCAGTCCAGTGGACTGATACATGACTGCTGCAAGCACGGGGTTATACTCGCGCAAGAGTTGCTGCGAAAGGGCTGATCGGAAAAGCTGAACACCACCATGATGCAAGGCTCCCTCCTTGTCGGTGTAGGCCCGCAAGAAATGCTTGATGACAGCATTCGAGCCGACGTCATCGAAGTTGACCATGCCAGCAAGGTTGTTCAAAAGACCCGCAAGAGACAGCCATTGGGAAGGGGTCCAGCTCCAGAACAGAGTGTCAGAGGTGAAGGCCACCGTGCTGGCTTTTAAAATGAATGCCGCCGTGCCGACCACAAGAATGAGGAGGTACAGCGGCATGTAGATGAGTAGCACTAGCATGCCAAGCCCTGTCGTGCGGCGATATCTTTCGATAGCTGCGCGAAGGCGGTCGGGATTTGCAAAGAGCATAAACTTCAACATTGATACCTGGGCCACCGCTCGCATGGCATCGACAGCGGAACAGAGACTGCGCGTGTTGGTTTCTGCTCCGAGGCAATAGCGCGCCAACATGTAAAGCATCAAGCTCAGGCAGTAGACGACACATGACCACACAGCGGGAAACTCTAGCCAGCTTAGCACGTGCTTCGTTTGATTCAGCGGCTCATCCGGGTCGCGCGATGGCAGCGTCACAAATGTGAACGTTGCAAATACAATGTTCAACACAGCTCGAGCCACTAGCTGACCAAACTTGAAACACCTTCTCCAGTTTGGGCGGTGCCCAAAGACTGCCCTCACGTCATTCAAGCGCAGAGCTTTCTTAACACGGAGCTTCTCTGACTTGGCTGCTTCCGCAGAAGCCTCCAGGCAGACAAACAGGATGCCATAAACCAAGAAGAGCACCACGAGTGTTGCCAACAGGCAACTCCAGGTAACCACTCCCAGTCCCAGGCTACTCAGATACCATGTTTCTGTTGTTGCCTTGTACTTCCATTCGCCAGGTAGAGCCGAGAGTGATGCCAGCACACCTGCAGACAAGACAGACACCACGGATACTGCAAAGATGCATGATCCCCCACACCTTCCACATGCTTGAGCCAGTGGCCGCTGAACTCCAACTGATGCTCGCTGGACTAGCTCGTCCCCGTTGACCTCGCAGAGCCCCGTACCCGAATGCACGAAGGCCTTGGCAACCTCCATTGGCCGGGAGCTGCGCATCGATGACTGCCGTCCCAGCCCTTCCGCATTGACATCGACCTCCCCTTGATCATTGCCCGAGTCCGTGGGCTGTGGAACGGTAAAAGGCAAACCCTGCTCTTCATCTGCTTCCTCGTCTTCGCCCAGCAGGTCTGACAGCGGTACCTCATCCTCCGGTGTCACTGACCATTCTTCCGCTTTCTCTTCAGGAAGCGTTCCCGGCAAGGCCGCTCCGTATACCGTTGGCATTGGACACGGCACACGAGTCGCCAGGTCTCATTGCAGGGCCCCTTCATTCTTGAGCCGCGAACGCAGCTGATGCCGTCGCAACCATGACCACCCTAAACCCTAAACCCTAACCTCTAAACCCTAAACCCTAAACCCTAAACCCTAAACTCTAAACCCCCGAACCCTGAACCCGGCCCAAAAACGCGAAACCCTAAACCTTAAACCCCACTGCAACTGTAAGCGGGCTTGGAAAGTGTGGAAGACAACGCCAGAGCCACAAGCATGTCGCCGTCAACCCAAACGCCCTTAGGGTTAAGGGTTTAGGGGCTTAGGGGTTTAGGGGTTTAGTGGTTTAGGGGCTTAGGGGTTTAGGGGTTTAGGGGTTTAGGGGCTTAGGGCGCCCCTGAAAGTGTTAAAACCAGGAAGCTCAATCCCAGAACCCCTAATGCAGGACACCCCTAAACCCCATCCCCTATATCCTAAACCCCAAAACCCCGAAGGTCAACTTTGCTTCAGGCTTAGGCTTGGACGCTCTTCTCGTAACTTTAGACCAGGGTCCCGGTACCAGCTGCGCCGGTCAGGAAGAGGCTCTCGCCTCGGCCACGCCTCTATCCCTTCAGGTCGGGTTTAGGGTTTAGGGTTTAGGGTTTAGGGTTTAGGGTTTAGGGTTTAGGGTTTAGGGTTTAGGGTTTAGGGTTTAGGGTTTAGGGTTTCGGGTTTAGGGTTCTTGCGTTGGGCCAAGTTCTAGGGCTCAGGCTACACCTTAAACCCAGGACAACAGGGCCCAACATTTTTGGTGGGTTTAGGGTTTCGGGTTTAGTCGTGTGGCCCTAAACCCTAACCCTAAACCCGAAACCCGAGACCCTAGACCCTAAACCCTAACCCCCAAGTCCCAAACCCAAAGCCCTGAAAGAGTTTACCATTGGCTTACTACACGTTAAGAGCTGCAGGGGGAGCTCAGTAAGGCTTAGGCATAGGCTTCTGGATATGGAGTTTGGGTGTTGGGTCCTAGGTCCAGTCAGGGGTTAATCCTAACCTGGCAAGATCCCAAGCACGAAGACGTATACCCTGAACCCTTGCCCTAAACCCTAAACCCTAAGCCCTAAGCCCTAAGCCCTAAGCCCTAAGCCCTAAGCCCTAAGCCCTAAGCCCTAAGCCCTAAGCCCTAAGCCCTAAGCCCTAAGCCCTAAGCCCTAAGCCCTACGCCCTAAGCCCGAAACCCTAAACCCTAAACCCTAACTAAACCCCAATTAAGCCCTAATTAAACCCTGGACCCTAGACGCCCTAAACCCTAAACCCTAAACCCTAAACCCTAAACCCTTAAACCCTAAACCCTAAACCCTAAACCCTAAACCCTAAACCCTAGCTAAACCCCAATTAAACCCTAATTAAACCCTAAACCCTAGAGCCTAAACCCTAAACCCTAAACCCTAACCAAACCCCAATTAAACCCTAAACCCTAGATCCTAGAGCCTAAAGCCGAAGTCCTAAGCCCCTAAGCCAAGGGCCATTCAAAGCCCGGCCCGCTGCGGCCCGCTGCTCCTGGACTCTCTCAAGCTTTTTAGGGTTTAGGGTTTAGGGTATAGGGTTTAGGGTTTAGGGTTTTGGGGCCTGCAAGGCCTTTAGGGTTTCTTGGGGGGTCGGGCTCAGGGATTTTGCACGGGTTGGGGCAAGGTAGGATCCTTGGACTGCATAGGATGCTTGGAAGCAAAGGACACTCTTTGGGGGGGGGGGGGGGAAACCTCACCGTAAAGAACAACCCTATAACCCTAAACCCTCAACCCTAGGCGGGGATGGAGCACATCACGGAACCAAAGGAGCGTTGGCATTTCAGATTCCGCCCAAGTTTTCGACTCAAATTGGGAGGGAGGGGGGGTCGCTGAACCCGAAGCCCTCTACACTGCTTGCTTGGGCTCCCATATGAGGATTCTCCAAGTCAGAACGATCGTGAGACCCCTAAACCTTCAAGCCCAGGCGCACTTGGCAGATCTTTGCTAGCAATGGCCTCGAGGATCTGTGGGTTGAGGGTTGACTGTTTGGGGACACTGCAATTTAGGTTACAAAAATAGGGTTTAGGGTTTGGGGATTCGATTTGCCGCATTTTCTGCGGATTTTAGGCTTTTGAAAACTTAAAAGAGGCTTTATGAAACTCTCAACCCTAAACCCCTAACCCCCTAACCCCCTAAACCCTAAACCCCTAAACCCCAAACAAGGCTCCTGAGTGAGCTGGGACTCTGCAATCCTCTCGGCCTTTGGGCGCGGGGGTTTGTAGGATGTGGGTAGCTCTCTAACATTCGGTGCCGTGCTCTGTTTAGGGTTTAGTTTAGTCCTTAGGGTTTCAGGATAGGACTGAAAAAAGCTAGTAGTTGAGAGAACTACCCATGCCGTGGATTTGTAGATGGTAGGTTTCCGTGGCTGCGGTGTGCACTTTGACCTCCAGCCCCTAGAAACTAAAACCCTACGAACTGACTTGGGAGAGGGATCCAGGGGAAGCAGCGCATTGCTTTTTGGGGTTTAGGGCTTAGGGCAACGATTAACGCGGATGAGGCGCGTTGGCAAGATTATGATCAAGACGTCCGCAAAAACCAAGAAGGCAACCACCACTCCCAAGCCCGAATTCCGTCAGCCCCACACCTTTTTCTCAACCCCCTACACCCTGAACCCTAAACCCTAAACCCTAAACCCTAAACCCTAAACCGTTATTTTCCTGAATATGATCCTCTTAAACCCAATAAGGGGGGGGTTTAGGGTTTAGGGTTTAGGGTTTATGGATCATGTCCCAAGACCCTACCGAGCATCCAAGAACTCCCTAAGGTCCTCTTAAACCCAATCAGGGAGAATATATAGAATTGCTCAAGAACCCCCCTCCCCCCCCATAAAAAAAAAAAAAAATCTTCCTCATAAGGGCATAGGGATTATTGTTTTTTTTATTCTTTTGGCGTTCTTAAGCAAATAGTAGATAATTAAGGGGACATATAGAATGTCCCAGGACCCTGCCGAGCAGCCAAAGAACTCCCGACCATGATCCTCTTAAACCCAATAAGGGAAAATACATCATGCCCCCAGGGCCGACCGAGCATGCAAGAATTCCCTAAGGAGCCTAAGAACCCTAAGGAGCCTAAGAACCCTAGGAACCCTAAGAACCGTAAGAACCCTAAAAAAAGCCTAAGAAGCCTAAGAATGCTAGGAACCTTTAAGAACCCATTTTTGGACCCTAAATCCTAAACCCTAAACCCTAAAGCCTAAACCCAAAACCCTAAACCCTAAACCCTAAGCCCTAAGGGTTTAAACCCTAAACCCTAAACACTAAACCCAAAACCCTAAACCCTAAACCAAGTCTGGAAAGCTCAATCTTCGAGGGCGTCCCCCTCCGCAACTGGGGGGCTGAATACACTAGAGAACAAAAGGTTTGCCTTCTACACATAGTCGGATTCGATATAGCCTAAAGGTTATAAAGGTTACCTATACACCCTAATTCTTAACCCTAAACCCTAAACCCTAACCCCAAACCCACCGAGTCCCTAGGGCCCTAGGAGCAAGGGCTGCGGAACTGCGAGCTTGCACGGCCTCTGGGACTTCGGTCTCGACATCGACATTCAGGGCTTCGGATCCTGCGACGAGCGTCGGCTCAAGAACATATTTGCTGCTGATATTCAGGGGTTCTTTTGGGTAGTTGAGGGTTTAGGGGTTTTTTGGGTAGTTGAGATCTACATTTCATTCTTGGGGAATATGAGAGGTAGCTAACTACTTCGGCTTGTGAGTTTCCCACACCAACAAATGAGTTTCCAGTGGTTCAGGCACCGAAAGAGATGCTTGCTTCCTTCGACTTCTGCATGTGTGCGAAAGCCCAATCTTGATCGGAGTCATCGGACGACATTCAAACGGGCCTGAATGCTCTGCTGCGTCCACCAAGAAGGATCCCATCTTCTGGACCCTTGCGAGCAGAAGGGCTTAGGGTTTAGGGTCTAAGGGTTTAGGGCTTACGATTTAGGGCTGCAGGGTTTAGGGTTTACGGTTTAGGGTCTAGGGTTCAGGGTGTGTAAAGCATAGGCGGCTTTGCTTCGAGCCCTAAGACAACACATAGCAAAGTGCCTCTGTCAGGGGATTACGGCGATCGTTCCATGCAGGGCCATTTTGTACACTCCTCCCAGTTCTCTGGCTGCAAAATGCTCGCTTGCAAAATAGAAACATGCCTTTTCACGTGTCATGTTTCCGAAGCACACCTTCGAACTCCCAATGAAGGTAGTTCTTGAACAACATCCCAAGTATCATGCCCCTTATGTGTTGTCCTAAACCCTAAACCCTAAAACCCTAAAACAAACACTTAAAAAAAAAAAAAAAACAACAAACGCGACAAACCCTAAAAAGCACTAAGCAAGTCCTTAAAAACACCCCAAGAAGGCCTAAACAACTGTAAAGACACCCTAAAAACACACGAAGAATCCTAAAAACCCTAAACAACCCTAAACCCCTAGCCCGAAATTTAGGGTTTAGGGTTTAGGGGTACAAGGCTCATTCGTTCGGTCCGAGACAATAGTTGGACGGCCAGTTTTGATTAAACCCTAAACCCTAAACCCTAAACTATGCATGTCTTGATCTATCCGTCCACGTAATGCACTATGCAATCAGCACAAACTTACAATGCGAAAACAAAAACACCAAATGCCACGTTCCGATGACGACTACATACAACTCCTGTCTGTGAAGAGCACAAGCCTTCCACCCAAATTCTTAACCCTCATCCCGCGCAGCCCTACACCCGCCAAATCCTGCTAAGCACTAACCGCCGATTCCTTTGTATCGGTTCCTGTAGATGTCAAGAGATTATTTTTTCTTATACCGTACTGTAGTGAATGTCTCGTTTGGCCTGGTCTCTTGGCTCCTTACCAAAATACTGAGCCCCCCATATCCCGAAACAAAACTAAATACACGTAAACCCGAAAACCCTAAACCCTAAACCCGACTTGCCTCGGGCGTCGCCGGCGAAACTTCTGCGACGGGGCGGCTCTTGGCTTGGCGCG